CGCTCTTCCAAATTTCACACAAGCCATTCAACTGAAGCCATAGATATCATGATTCAAGGCCAACTTTGCCTTGAGCAGACTGCCTCTCCAGGTGTTCACAATCACAACATCCAAATACGTATAAGACTTTTAGTTGAGAAAGCCACGTTAATCCCAAGTCTCTGCTATGACTGGGAGATGGAAAATTGGCAACAAAACGTGCTCTTTCTGCCGTCTCCAAAGCCAAATGTTAGACTCTGCTATGCCATCAAATTCATGGCTTGCAGCTCAGTTGCCATGAGCCTCAGCATAGATAACAACTTTAAGTGTTTGAGCGGTCGTGTGAGATCGCCGACAACTCATGCCATCCCAAAGACAGCATGGAAACGCTGTGCACTGTATACTCATGCACTCACACGTGATTACCTGGCAATACAAAAAGGCAAGACAAGACAAGACAAAACAAAATACGGCAAGATTAAATACGGCAAAGTCAGGGTGTGCATTATAGATAGGAGCTCAGTTTATGCCGGAATTCTCATGTTTAAAAGGTAGATGCGCATTATGCATAGGTGTGCATTATAGTCAGGATTTTACGGTATACACAAACATCATAAAGTATTTTCCAACCATAAATGGCAACAATAACTGGATTTGAAATCTATTAAGTATAACAAGAAAATCCAGTCAGTTTTTTGTCGCAAGATTATGAAAACCTAATTGAAATTGCTTCAGATGGCCAAGTAATACAAAAATTTAAAGAAGTTTCTCTGATTACATTTTGGGGTGGTTTATGCCAAGAATATTCAGCTTTATCAAGATGTGCAATTCGTCAGTTGTTACTCTTCACCAGCACATACTTGTCCGAAACTGAGTTCTCGAATTACGCAGCAACAAAAATGAAAACAGAAATCGACTGAATGCCGTGCCAGATAAGTGAATCCAACTTTCCAGTATTAATCCAAATATAAAAAGAATTTGCCAAGAAAAGAAGAAAACCCACTCTTCGTATTGAAAACTTCCAATATAATGCATATTAATTATTGAGCTTTATTTTTTGTACACATTAAATGTGATTTTAATTTTGTTTTTAAATATGTGCAATTAAACTAAATGTTGATCTTGTGACCTTGTTTAGCATTTGTTTATTATTATCCTTACTTATTTGTGGTCTACTTTTTCAGCTCCGTATATCAGACTGTTATTAAGGGTTCTGCGAAATTCTTGCAAGTTTAAAAGGGTTCCGTGGCCAAATAAAATGGGGAAACACTGATTTAAGGTTCCAGCTCTCGTGTATTCAACCCTGCCTAGGGGGATCCCTCTGATTCTTTCCACACTTGCTCATCTCCTGGGAAATAGCAGCCAATCAGGGTTGCTGCACGTGTCAGGCAGAGCTTTCCCCCTGCCCATCAAGAACCAAAGGTGTTTTCAGGTGGAGATTAGGGAGGGAGTGGTTGACACCATTCTCACTGAAGGGGAAAAGTCAGCATGGAGCAGAAAGAGCAGTTTGTAGGTTACTCTGCGGCCTGCTGTTAAGAATGGGTCAGACTTCTCCCTGCTCCTCCTCCCAGCAGCACCTGCCTGGCAGAGGTCAGATGAGGTGAAGCCCCCTTAAGGTTGCAGGAGGAACCTAGGTGAAACGAGTTAATGGGATGATGTGGGTCTGGGGCTGTATCACTGATTGCCGGGAGGAGACCAGTCAGAGTAGGGTGGGAAGTGTAGCACTGATTTCTGGGATGGGGCAGGCCATTGTGGGGGAAGCCCTCTGCCCCAGCGAGGGGGAGGATCCAGTTCCCCCTAAGGCAGAAGCAGGGACTAGCTAACAAAGCCAGAGAGAAGACAGAAAAGAAAAGGAGAGGGAGCAACCAAAGGTGGGAATCCCCAGAGAGGAGGTCTGAGTTTAGACTGGGAAAGCCCAGGAGGATCCCCCTTCAGCATTCTCCAGGCAACAAGTACCAGGCCTATGCGGCTCCACTGCCAGATAAGAAGGAACAGCTAGGACCACCACCTGGCTGTGACTGGGTGTTTGGACACCTGGGTGGGACTAGAGCTATAGGGCTGGCCACCCCCAATGCACTGTGACTTTTGTGGATGAGAATCCTGCAAGCAGAGCCCAGCGGCCCTCCCAGGGGGTGGCAGACATCTGCTCGATCATTTATGTTAACCTCCCAGATATTTAATAATTTCATAAAGCCTGTTTCTAATATCACTTGTACTGATATAAATCTGATTTTACTCTAAAATAGTCAATGGTTTTATTAAAAAACAAAACAAAAAACAAACAAAACCCACAACAAAAACCATAAGAATAAAATAAAAACCAAGCCCATGATTACATTTTTCTATCTTGAGTTTGCTCTTTTCTATGCAATACACAGCAACTCGACTATAGGAAGAATGTTCCTAATATTTAGTCTATTGGAGGAAATGCCTGAGCAAACACAGGAATCATCTCCAAAAATACCATTTTGATAATTTCTGATATAAATTTCTTAATGAAATGAATGAGTTATATCTTTCTAGGATTTCATACAATATTTTCAATTATGCTACCTCACCCACCTCTCCTTATAACTGCAGGAGATTAAAAGAGGAAATCCATTTACAAAACAAGATCTGGCATTTTAACCGCTTTTATTAGACTATACTGAGGCATTTGAAAAGAGCCTTGCAACAAGTTAGTGCCAGTTCTCTCAAGTCTGGGGTGGCACTCTCTCCTTTGTTCTCTTCTCACTTAACCGAGACAGAGGCAGGGGCAATCCGTCTCTTGATGGATCTCCTGCCATTTCTCTTCTTGGAAGGTAAAGGCACAGCCTGATTTAAGGGCAGGACCCCGCCCTGAGAGATGATGACACCTCCCAGCAGTTTCTTGAACTCTGAGTCGCTGTGGATGGCCAGCTGCAAGTGCCGCGGGGAAATCCGACGCTTCTTGCTGCGTGCAGCGACTTCCCCAGCAATATCCATAATCTCGTGAGTCAGGTACTGAAGCACTGCAGCCATGTAGACCGGTGCTCCAGCTCCAATACGGTCTGCAAATTGTCCTTTGCGCAGCAGTCTGTCTATGCGACTGACAGAGAACAGCAGCCCAGCCCGGGAAGAACGGGTGATTTTGGCCTTGGCCTCCTTTGTGTTTGAAGTCTCACCAGAGTGCTCAGACTCAGACTCAGACTCAGTCTCAGTCTCAGACATGTTGCAGAATTCTACTGTTTGTTCCAGCAACACTTGGCTTGACTTTTTTGGTTTTGTTTGCTCTGTTTGGTTTACCAGATTCTTTACTTGAGTTGGCCTTAGTGTGTTTCCTTGCTTGGCTCTGCTTCTCTGTGTCTTTCTTTGCTTGACTTGTCTGTCTCTCTCTTTCCACGCTCTGTTCACTTGGTTTTCTCTCTCTCTTATTTTGCCTTCTTTTAATTTCTTCCTGATCTGCCCAATTATGACTGGCCTGACAAAAGTGTGGCTTGGCTAAGTCACCTCTTGAAATCACCACAGTTGTGTCCCAACCCTGTCTGAGCCTGCAACCTTTTATAACCTGGGCACATTGTGCAACCTTGCTTTCTGATTGGTTGTCTGAGAACCAATAGGAAGCTGCCTCATTTGTTAGCCAAGCTAGAGGGACTACTAGATCATCCTTTTGTGACATCATTCCCATTGACTCTCACTTTGCATTGGATTTTAGCTAGTGAGCTTTGCTATTAGCAAAACAAAAGTTAATATAGAAATGTAAAACTGTTTCACATTTCTGTATTAACTTTTGTTTAGTCTTTGAAGTTATGAAGCACTCCCCAGACAAATAGTAACCTACCCATTTCCATTAGCAAGTAACACACTTTTCTAGGCAGACACACCAAAGGCAGAAACTCCTAGGCTACATCTACACTGGCCCCTTTTCCGGAAGGGGCATGTAAATTTCACCAGTCGTCGTAGGGAAATCCGCGGGGGATTTAAATATCCCCCGCGGCATTTAAATAAAAATGTCCGCCGCTTTTTTCCGGCTTTTAAAAAAGCCGGAAAAGAGCGTCTAGACTGGCCCCGATCCTCCGGAAAAAGTGCCCTTTTCCGGAGGCTCTTATTCTTACTTTGAAGTAAGAATAAGAGCCTCCGGAAAAGGGCACTTTGAAGTAAGAATAAGAGCCTCCGGAAAAGGGCACTTTGAAGTAAGAATAAGAGCCTCCGGAAAAGGGCACTTTGAAGTAAGAATAAGAGCCTCCGGAAAAGGGCACTTTGAAGTAAGAATAAGAGCCTCCGGAAAAGGGCACTTTTTCCGGAGGATCGGGGCCAGTGTAGACGCTCTTTTCCGGCTTTTTTAAAAGCCGGAAAAAAGCGGCGGACATTTTTATTTAAATGCCGCGGGGGATATTTAAATCCCCCGCGGATTTCCCTACGACGACTCGTGAAATGTACATGCCCCTTCCGGAAAAGGGGCCAGTGTAGACGTAGCCCTAAAGCATAGCAGCCTAGTCTAATTTTTAACTCTCACAACCTCCCTCCAAACAGCTACATATTCAGATCCTTTCTACTATCCTAAAAATAATGTTTCCTCTCTCATCCGCAAGAGGAGCTTGCTTTCTTTTTTAAATCAAACATATCCAAGCCTCTCAAAATCATGAAGTCCTAAAATTCTTACAATGCCTTTTGCAGGTAAATGGTAGTAGAGATACTGCTTTATAGATAAGTGGTAGTAGAGATACTGGCTTATAATATACATAAGGGCTGTGTCTACACTGGGCCACTTATTCCAGAAAATCAGCCGCTTTTCCGGAATAGGCTGCGAGCTGTCTACACTGGCTCTTGAATTTCCGGAAAAGCAACGATGCTCTACTGTACCTATTCTGCTCCCGCTCGGGCATAAGTCCTTATTCCGGAACATTGTTCCGGAAAGGGCCAGTGTAGACAGCCCAGTAGTCTTTTCCGGAAAAGCGCATCTACATTGGCCACAAACGCTTTTCCGGAAAAAGGGCTTTTCCGGAAAAGCAGCCTGCCAATGTAGACGCTCCTTTTCTGGAAAAACTGAAAACGGAATAGTATTCCGTTTTAAGCAGTTCCGGAAATTCATGCCAGTGTAGACACAGCCATATTGTTTTGTGTATATATGGTAATGTTCTACTCTTTGTTGAATTGTTATAAATCAACAATTATTTTTCAGCAAATAGTTCTATTTGTTGAAAAAAATGTTTTGTGCCACAAAAATTAGCTTTTGAATTCAGAATCTATTTGATGAACAATTTTGACAGGAAAAAATAAGTAACCCCTACGTATTTTTTTAAAATGTTTTGTTTAGAAATTTATTGCCCTTTAAAAAGTCACCCACCTCCACAGCCTCAAAAGGTGCTTCATTTTGGGGCATTTTTCACATCCTTTCACTGTGGGTGCAACAAACCTCTTCATTTAACCAGATACAATATATATTTTTTTAATTTTCACTTTGTCCACCAAACTGAAACTCATTTATTCACCCAGCTCTAATCAGGAATAACTCCATTGGCCAGAACATACTTCAAACGGCCAGTGATAGCAGTATATAACTTCATATTCATACTGGGAGCCATTCTGCCCCCCTTTTGATACTGAGTCATAAATGACTGCACACAGAGCTCTGTTGCCATCCATGGGGTTAATTATCTGCTCAGATACTGCTCAGGTAGGGCAAGGCAGAAACAAGCCCACAGACCCGTGCTTCACTGATGTTTTGTTCATTCTTTGGGGGAGCTGATGCCATGAAAAAGTGAAATTAGAATTTGTGTTCATCTCCTCAACATGCTTGCATGTAAACAAAATCTGACAGTCCTGACCGAAGTCCTGAAGCTACAGTTATTACTCAGGGAAGGAATTCTCACTCATGCCTCCAATGAGACTACTGTAAAAGCCCTTTTATCCAGCACTTCACTAGTTGACAAGCTCACTGAGTCTGAATTTCTGATCTGCACAGAAAGTCTGGTTTTCAGTGCGGTTGGTGTGGGGCTGGCAGGGAACTGGGCTGTGAGAGGGGCTTTGAGATGTGCTCTGGGAGGGGCTTGGACCAGGGACTGGGGCACAGGACAGACTTGGGTTGCCAGATGTGGGGCAGGGATAGTGTTCCCTGTAAGCTGTGCACTTGTGCGGCTGCTCAGAAGATATTCTAGTGCCGCCCAGCTGATTAGCAAAGCAGCTAGGTTTTGCTTTTAATGGTGGTGCACATTCACACGTGCCTTGATGCATATAACATGTATTTTGTATCTGGATGGAAATAATCCACACACAGAGGGAAAAGATTGGAGGGAACATTGTGGGGCACTCAACTCCAGCAACCTCCACCAGCGTTCCCCATCTCAGCTGTTGTGGGTAGAAGTGCAGCTAGGAGGTTCTGCAGGCATACTGCCACCATTCCCCTCCCTGAGTACTGCCACTGGGAACTGCAGGGAGTGGTGCCTGCAGATGGAGACCAGTGTGCTTGTTGGTTGCAGAGCCACCTGACTTTGCCTCCACCAGAAGCAGCTGCTGCTGGTGGGGATCCTGGGCTTGTGTCCTCCCCAGCATCCCAAGTCCCTCCAGTGCCCCAATCCCCTCATGCACCCAAGCCCCTTTGGGAGCCTGTGCTCCACAGCCCTTCTCATGCTCCTCCCCCCTCATACTCCAAACCCCTCCCTCTTAGTTAGGTGGTTCTGAATTCTCAGCACCTCTAGAAATCAAGTCACTTTTAGTTAATAGCTTAAATATGGGGTTAGGTATGAAATTCAAGCAGCCAAAGTTTTGTAAATATTGATCAGTTTCTCTGGCCGCCTGAAGTTGGTGATGTCTCTTGTGTCTCTTGTGGTACCTAAGTGGAGAGTAAAAGTTTTTGCTATTTCAGGACTAGCCTGACATACCTAATACTGCTCGGCAGAGAAGTAATCAGGCTAGGTTTTGGCTAGCACAAACTCTTACACATTGTATATTTCATATTAATTTTTGAGTATTTATATGGCAAGGGATGGGAACAGGCAAGGAAAAATTGCTGTAAGAGTAATTAATTTGTGGTTATTTTTGCACGAGCTAATATAACCACCTTTCCCTCTCAGTTGTCTGTTACATATAATGGATGTATTTTCCATGACCATTCAACTTGTTTTAACTGACAAACTTCCATTATTTTAAAATAATGATTACATACAATTTATACTCAAACATTACTCTCAGTTTTCCCTTTTAAAAAAAGATGAGCAAAATACAACCCCTGGGCTGGACCCAGCCTGCCAAATATACTCCATGGCCCAGCAGAAGAATCAGGCAGACTCCTTGCCTGCCCTGCCCCCTCACAGCACTCAGAGCTGTGGGAGCCATAAACTTTTCTGAGCACCACCATGAGCTAGGGGTGGAGAAAGAGAGTGTGTTTTCAAGGCAGACAGCACGCAAAGTATGCCCCCGGGGGCTTGTGGTAGTCAGAGAATCACATGAGCCCAGCAGCCAGCTGCTTTGAGTGGCATATGGGGGCATGGAAGGCAGGGAGCTGCAGGACCTGCTGGGCTTGCTGGCCAGGAGCCACCTAGGTAGGCACCTGTGGGCTAGAGCCTGCCTCTGGCACCCCAACCCCTACCCCTTCCTTCTCTCCCCTCATGCACCTCTACTCCATGTAACACAAACCCTCTGCATCCTTGCTCCTGAACTCACACCCTCTCTCAGACCTTGTACTCCAATCCCCTGCCCAAGGTCATAACCTCCCTCCATTCTTAGGTCACAGCCCAAGCCCCTAACCTCCTTCCTGTGCCCCCTAGATGGACCTGGCTCAGGCACCAGGCAGGATAAAGGACATCCCAATGGTAGGCAGGTGGGGGTGGCTTCTAGAGTGGCCTAGGGGATTGGGCAATTGCCTAGGAACCACCCCTCCCAGATCCTACACCCCAATCCTCTGCCCCAAGTCACAACCCCCTCTTTCATTCTAACTCCCACCCAGATTCCTCCTACACCACCCAAGCTCTCCTCTGCACCCAACCTTTCTTTCATTAGTAACATGGAAGAGTGGCCCTTGACCATTTACTACATTCTTGTAGTGTCTCCCCATCAAAAATTATTGCCCACCCCTGCTTTAAAAGGATGATCATTTATGTTAACCTCCCAGATATTTAATAATTTCATAAAGCCTGTTTCTAATATCACTTGTACTGATATAAATCTGATTTTACTCTAAAATAGTCAATGGTTTTATTAAAAAACAAAACAAAAAACAAACAAAACCCACAACAAAAACCATAAGAATAAAATAAAAACCAAGCCCATGATTACATTTTTCTATCTTGAGTTTGCTCTTTTCTATGCAATACACAGCAACTCGACTATAGGAAGAATGTTCCTAATATTTAGTCTATTGGAGGAAATGCCTGAGCAAACACAGGAATCATCTCCAAAAATACCATTTTGATAATTTCTGATATAAATTTCTTAATGAAATGAATGAGTTATATCTTTCTAGGATTTCATACAATATTTTCAATTATGCTACCTCACCCACCTCTCCTTATAACTGCAGGAGATTAAAAGAGGAAATCCATTTACAAAACAAGATCTGGCATTTTAACCGCTTTTATTAGACTATACTGAGGCATTTGAAAAGAGCCTTGCAACAAGTTAGTGCCAGTTCTCTCTCCTTTGTTCTCTTCTCACTTAACCGAGACAGAGGCAGGGGCAATCCGTCTCTTGATGGATCTCCTGCCATTTCTCTTCTTGGAAGGTAAAGGCACAGCCTGATTTAAGGGCAGAACCCTGCCCTGAGAGATGGTGACACCTCCCAGAAGTTTCTTGAGCTCTGAGTCACTGTGGATGGCCAGCTGCAAGTGCCGCGGGGAAATCCGACGCTTCTTGCTGCGTGCAGCGACTTCCCCAGCAATATCCATAATCTCGTGAGTCAGGTACTGAAGCACTGCAGCCATGTAGACTGGTGCTCCAGCTCCAATACGGTCTGCAAATTGTCCTTTGCGTAGCAGTCTGTCTATGCGACTGACAGAGAACAGCAGCCCAGCCCGGGAAGAACGGGTGATTTTGGCCTTGGCCTCCTTTGTGTTTGAAGTCTCACCAGAGTGCTCAGACTCAGACTCAGACTCAGTCTCAGACATATTGCAGACTCGTAGCTTAGTTTAATTTTTACTTCCTTGTCTTGGCTTGCCTGGTTTTCTTTTCCTTTCTTTAATGGTTTGTCTTTTTTTCCTTGCCTTGCCTTACTTGCTGGTCTGTGTTCGCTTTATCTTTCTTTCCTTTGCCTTCTTTGCTCACTTCCTGGTTTGTCTTGGTGAAATGTAGCTTGGGTAAGCTACCTCTTGAAAAGCAACCAGAGTTTCCACTGACCTTGTCTGAGCTGCAGACCTTTTATAACCTTGGCAGAGGAGAAAATGTACTTCTGATTGGTTGGGTGTGAACCAATGGGAAACTGCATTCTTTATTATCCAAGCTGGTGGAGACATGTCATTCTTTATGACATCATTGTCATTGACTCACCCTTTGTACTGTAGCTTTAGCCAGCTACACAAGATAGCTATGTCTCAAGAGGACTGTGAAGAGCTACAAGACGATCGCACAAGACTAGAGAATAAAATGGCAGTTGAAATTCAATGTTGATAAATGAAAGAAATGCACATTGGAAAATGTAATGCCATCATACATATAACATTATGGAGTCTAAATTATCAGTTAACACCATCCAACCATCCCCTTATCATAGAATCAGAACTGGAAGAGACCTCAGAAGGTCGTCAAGTCCAGCCCTCCGCTCTAGGCAGGACCAATCCCATCTAAATCAACCCGGCCAGGGCTTTGTCAAGCCGAGACTTAAACACCTCTAGGGATGGAGACTCCACTACTTCCCTAGGTAACCCATTCCAATGCTTCACTACCCTCCTAGTAAAATAGTTTTTCCTAATATCCAATCTGGACCTCTCCCACCACAACTTGAGACCATTGCTCCTTGTTCTGCCATCTGTCACTACTGAGAACAGCCTCTCTCCATCCTCTTTGGAACCTCCCTTCAGGAAGTTGAAGGCTGCTATCAAGTCCCCCCTCACTCTTCGCTTCTGCAGACTAAACAGACCCAAGTCCCTCAGCCTCTCCTCGTAGGTCATATGCTCCAGACCCCTAATCATTTTGGTTGCCCTCCGCTGGACCCTCTCCAATGCGTCCGCATCCTTTTTGTAGTGGGGGGCCCAGAACTGGACACAGTACTCCAGATGTGGCCTCACCAAAGCCGAATAAAGGGGAATAATGACATCTCTGGATCTGCTGGCAATGCTCCTCTTAATGCATCCTAATATGCCATTAGCCTTCTTGGCTACAAGGGCACACTGTTGACTCATATCTAGCTTCTCATCCACTGTAACCCCCAGGTCCTTTTCTGCAGAACTACTACTTAACTGGTTGGTCCCCAGCCTGTAACTATGCTTGGGATTCTTCCGTCCCAAGTGCAGGACTCTACACTTGTCTTTGTTGAATCTCATGAGATTTCTAGTGGCCCAATCCTCCAATTTGTCTAAGTCACTCTGGACCCTATCTCTGCCCTTAAGCGTATCTACCTCTCCCCCTAGCTTAGTGTCATCTGCAAACTTGCTGAGGGTGCAATCTATCCCCTCATCCAGGTCATTAATAAAGATATTGAACAAAACCGGTCCTAGAACCGAACCTTGGGGCACTCCACTAGAAACCGACCTCCATCCTGACATCGAACCGTTGATCACTACCCGCTGGGCCCGGCCTTCTAGCCATCTTTCTATCCATCTTACCGTCCATTTATCCAATCCGCATTCCCTTAACTTGCTGGCAAGAATATTGTGGGAGACCGTATCAAAAGCCTTGCTAAAGTCAAGGTATATAACATCCACTGACTTCCCCATGTCCACAGAGCCAGTTACCTCATCATAGAAGCTAATCAGATTGTTCAGGCATGACTTGCCCTTTGTGATCTTGGAGTCCTTGTAGATAGTTCTCTGAAAACATCCACTCAGTGTGCAGCAGCGCTCAAAAAAATAAACAGAATGTTAGGATCATTAAGAAAGGAATTGAGAATAAGACAGAATATCTTAGTGCCTCTATATAAATCCATGGTACATCCTGAATACAGCATGCTGATGTGGTCTCCTTGTCTCAATAAAGATATCCTGGCATTTGAAAAAGTTCAGAAAGGGGCCACAGAAATAATTAGGGCTATGGAATGGCTGCTATATAGGCGATATTAATAGTAGTGGGACTTTTCAGCTTGGAAAAAAGATGATTAAGGGGGAGGTATGATCATGATTGTTGTGGAAAAGTGAAAAAGGAAATATTGTTTACTTCTCTTCATAACACAAGAACCAGGGGTCACCAAATGCCATTAATAGACAGCGGGCTCGTCTACACTGGCCCCTTTTCCGGAAGGGGCATGTAAATTTCACCAGTCGTCGTAGGGAAATCCGCGGGGGATTTAAATATCCCCCGCGGCATTTAAATAAAAATGTCCGCCGCTTTTTTCCGGCTTTTAAAAAAGCCGGAAAAGAGCGTCTACACTGGCCCCGATCCTCCCCTTCCCTGGAGCCCTTAAAGATGCAGCCTCAGGGGAAAGGGTTTATAGCAGACAGGAGGCCCTGACAGCCCTGAGCCACCTGCAGCTGCCACAGCTTCCCTTTGGGTTACATGCCAATTTAGTGATTGTTTGGATTTGAATTGAAATTGAAATACTAATACACACTTTAAAAGCATATACAGTGTATGATAAGATATGTGTATCTGAAAAAGTATAATAGATTTGAAAAGTATGAACATAGACTAGCTTCCTTATACAGCTGTTGTTTTTTATGACAATGTCATTTTGGTGATGTTGGCCAACCTAATAATTTCAAATTATGATTTGTAAGCAAAATCAAAATGAGCTCTCCCTGACAGCTAGCGATGAGCTGGGGGCTGGAGGGAAAGGCTTCCGGACAAGATTATATTTACATTCACACCTAATCTAACTAGGTATCCAGCAAACAGAACTGTGTTGCCCAAGTGATAGATTTTGGCTGGGATTGGGTTACAAATAACTTGAATGCCCTGGGGGGAGGAGGGGGAATGAAATGTTGTTGTTCTTAT